CCTCTCTCTCTCTCTCTCTCTCTCTCTATCACACACGTGAGCACGCATGCACACCAATGGAAAGTAACAAGCTTTTTTCCAACATTGATCTTCTCTCTCATGCACTTGCATTCGAAAAGTACCTATCGATATTGATGATTTTTTTTTTTTTAAACACAGCTTCTGTTTTGGGGGAGCTCTGGAAATTAGAGCCATTAGCCGAGGAAAATAAGAAAAAATGGAGGAGAGAGATGGATTGGCTACTTTCCCCTGCTAAATACATGATTGAGCTGGTTCCGGCTAAGCAAACCCAAGCCAATGGCCACATCATAGAGGTAAGTAAGAGAATAAGCAAACCAACAAATGCGACTAAAAAAACGGATGCACGTTATGCTTTTCTAAAATAGCTGTTTCTTAAAAACAGACACACACACAGAGATAGAGAGAGAGAGAGAAAGAGCTCTTTTCTGCCAATCAATTGTTTATTTATGAGCAGTTCCTTTGATCATGGATAGACGAGGAAGATTTTCACCTCATTGCATATGTATTTATTTTATGAGATAACCAAATACATTTTTATTTGATGCAGATAATGGCTCCAAGAGTCCGGCCAGACGTTGACATTAATCTTCCTGCACTGAAAAAGCTTGATAACATGCTACTTGTAAGATTTCCCTATCTTTAATCAATTCCTTTCTTATCAAACCATTAAAATTTTCCCAATATTTCTCTTTTTTCTGTTATATGATTATTGGGTTTCTGAATTTTTCCCTTTTCCCATTTATTTGGTTCTTGGGATTTAAAGGAATCGTTAGATAAAATGGTGGGAACGGAGTTCTGGTACATAGAAGGGGGAAACATCGGGGTCAAGAGAGAGAGAGAGAAGGATTCCAAACCTTTGAGGAAATGGTGGCTTCCTCTTCCAAGAGTCCCTGTTACTGGCCTCTCAATTGACGAAAGGAAGAGGTTGGTTAGTGAGAAAGAGAGAATAACTCAAATTTTCAAGGCTGCCAAATCCATTAACAAGACTGTTCTGCTTGAAATGCCAATTCCTCGGGCTTTCTGGGACTCCCTACCCAAGGTGAGAAACCACTTTCTTGTTTGCGAAATCAGTCCTTTTTTTTTTGCCTGACTTCATAAACATTATATTATCCTTGGAGGTAAATTGAGATTATGTGATCAATAAAAATCTATGTAATTCTAAAATTGGTTTGGGAATTTTTGCCATGCTTTATATTTGGAGAGTGATTCTCTGAATAGCTCTGATGTGATCTTCAACTTGCACATTATTTCCTTTCAAAAAAAATTTATGTATTGGCTAATGATATATTAGGAGGGCAGCTGTTTGGTTCTATCATTGGATTGTAGATTTACAAAATTCCCATTATATCTAATTAGTATAGATAAATGCAAGCTGTAGGGCTAAAGAAGATAGTGTTTTCACATTTTTCCCTGCACATTTGTAGGGGCAATTCTCACCAAACCAGTTAAAAGCAGTTAAATTTATTTATTACTTTTCACTTTGTGTTGAATGTTCAGTTTTGTAATTTACGAAAAAATTGGTTTTACTGATTTATTTTAACCAAAGGAAACAACAGAAGTTTCATGTTTTGTGATCTTGACTGTGCATGTAATTGATGCTAATTCAGCCTTTTCCCTGAAAAATATCATTTCTTCCTTAGTCTAGAACTTTCACGTCATTTGTAGACAGGAAAAACAGTCCCTGAAGATGCCCTTTACCAGGCAATAGCCCTCAAATCTCCCATTGAAGAAGTTCTCAACTCACTCGACCTAATGCCCGAACATGCAGTTTTGGAGATGGTAAATCAATTAGAGGCTGCTATTTTTATGTGGAAAAGAAGATCGAAGAGCGAGGAGGCTGCTTATTTGGTTGAAGATGGAAAGATCGACTCGAGAAGGAATTCATGGCCCCTAACAAAACAACCAGAAAATGAATTCCTCAAGAAAGATGCATGCTTTGGAAAGGCTGAAAGCTTTCTTAAGCAACTCCAATTCAAATTCCCACACTTGCCCCAAACCTTACTCGATGTAACGAAGATACAATATAACAGAGTGAGCCCCAATCCTTAAGAGTGCTTCCTTTTCTTATTTATGCAACATATATTAAGCGACACTTAAAAGAGTTGAAAAAAGTATATAGTTACGACTTCACTTTTAGAAGTAAAGTTGTGGTATTCTACATCATCCATTTTAGTTAGATGTATAAATTCTACATTATTCAAAATTTTGACATTTTCTTAAAATACATCTCAAAATTTTACATTATTCAAAATTTTGGCATTTTCTTAAAATACATGTCAAATCTACTTTTTCTGATTAAAATAGATAAGTATAAAATGCCCCAACCTTACTTGATCTTATTTCAATAAGGTTGATGTATTTCTGCTTTATATGAACTGCACCCTTATTAAAAATATGTACATTAAGAAAAAGTCTGCCATCAAAGGGACTTCAAACCATGAAACCACCTGTTCAACATGAATGTGGTACTGTGCTCATGGAATTTAAGGTTTGGGTACAAAAGCAAAAGAAAAATCTTGGTGTCCATGGTTAAAACTTTCATTTTACTAAGTCGGTATTACATGCATCGAATTTTAGCAGTTGGGAAATACATGCCTTTCTTTTCTTTAATAACTTGGTGTTTCATGACAGGATGTTGGGCATTCCATCCTAGAGGGGTATTCCAGAGTTTTAGAAAGCTTGGCCTTCAATATTCTTTCAAGAATTGACGAAGTTTTGCAAGAAGATGACACCACTAAGTCTTTATTGTCACCACCGTCATCATCCTCATCATCATCGTCGTCATCATCATCCTCGCCTAAAACCATCTGAGTTCTTTCTGTCATCGTCATGCTCACCGACTCTGTGCTTCCTGTATTGCAGGGCAAATTGAATGAACACCTCGCTATTAAGTATTGAGCTCTTGTATTTGTCATGCATTATCAAGCACAGAGTAATTTCTGTGTGGAGAAAAACAATGATTGCTTTACAGTGAAATCTAGAAAGATCCATTATGTAGTTTCTTTGCTCATGATGGAAAACAAAAAGAAAAATAAAAAAAGATTGTATACAATGAGACCATACAATGTGAAATTTGATAGCTTGAGTGTGTCATAAAGGTAATGCATTGATATGAAGATATAACCTATCAAATGTAGTAGCAAGCAGATAACTTGAGTTTTGTGTTTGACAATTCATATCCCTGTTTCAATATTGCATGACTTTCTAAAAAAATGCTCTGATTTCTTTAAAAATGTTTTAAATCACAACTTCCAAAATATTACAGCATTTTATCATTTCTTTAAGATTTAAAAAATTAAAATCATTATTATGGTTGGTTCTTTGTCAAATTAGCTCCTAATTTGGATGTAAGATTTAAGGCATTAATATTGTATTTTAGTTGATTATGTATAATAAAGGCTTTATTTTGAATATTGCATAATTATTTGCCCTCCCCCTTGCACATTATACATTTTTTTAAGTTCATTTTTTTATTCAAAGAAGAACCAGATATTTCTTAACTCACCAAATTGCTAGCACACTCAAGTTTTTTTCTGGGTCATAGCTCTTTAGAACAAACTTTTAGTTGTACTGCCATTTAGAGGCATCCAAATGAAGGGAACAATACGAGGAGTAAATAGATAAAAATTCAATTGGGAAATTCTGACATCAAATCGAAATACCTGTAAAATGTTAAAATAGAACCTGGGCATCATAGAAAAACAATGTTCAAAAAACGACTAGAACATGCCGATTACGACCGGGAACAAGAGGGCTCAGCCGGATTGCCAATCCAGACCAATTTCGAATGGGCAATCCAGGTCACCATTCATGTTTTTAAACACGAATGTCACTACTAATTGTAATTTTGCTTTATAAAATCCTCAAATTGATCGAACCTTGATTGGCATGGATGTAAAAAGAAAAAGATTTCAAACCTTAAAAGTGATTATATTCTAACAGACTACCTCGACTTTTCAATTTTAAATGGGTGTGGTTTGTATAAGGTTGAGACCCAAAACAATCTAATAAGGTACACCTTTTGACGTGTTTTAATACCAAAATCTTTATGATAGACTTAAACAAGTTATTTCATCTCTAATTATAAAATCTAAAACTTCAAAAATAAAATAGATCAAATATATCTGTAAACACTTGAAAATCTTGAAAATTGAAAACAAAATAGATCAAAAGATCAAATATATCTGTAAACACTTGAAAATTGACAGTCCAACTCTAAATATATGACTTGAGGTCCAACTTCCGTGATGCCCATGTAACTCAAGATCAAGGTGATCAAATTTAAGGATTTATCAGCATCAGAATAACTTCTACTTAGAGTTTTTAGGTGAGCCTTAGTTTTGATTGTTTAGCCAAGCCACGTGAATCAGACGGCCCGAAGCCCATAGGAAGATTATGGCTAACTACTCGAAGTGAAAAGCAAAAATATTCTAAAATTAATTACTTGGATCTGGAAAAAGAAAGTAGAGTCCATCTAGCTTTCATGCTTGAACCATACCATAGTATAAAACATAAATAAGATCCCTATTGAGTATAAAATGAAAAATTCGTATAGTATAAAACATAAATAAGATACCAATGAGTATAAAACTAAAAATAAGTGATATGTTTATATCACGCACATATCACCCGACCCAACAGAACCATTTGATTCGCAGTTAAACAAGGGAAGTAAATAAATAAATAAATAAAAAGCTTTATGTAAAAAAAATTTTAAAAAAAATATTTATAGATCCACAAAAAGGATCTATATCAATTTTTGAGCTACAAATTGATATAGATTTGTCCGTAGTGAAAATAGATTTTAAGGCCATTGCAAGCATTGATGGAGACGGTAGTGGAAATAGATTTTAAGGCCATTGCAACCATTGATGGAGATTTCGCAACGACTTGGAAATGGAAAAGGCCATTGCAGGATTTTCCTATTCCCAAAGATTATGGAACCATTGATGGAGATTTCGCACTGCTGTGGAAATGGGAAAATTTAGGTTTTTTGTGAGGAAATGAGATCGTGAAAAAATACATGGCATTTCCATGATTTTTATTTGGATAAAATTTATATAAGAATGCTACTTTATAGAGTAGAACTACGCCCCTCAAAATCCATCAAAAAAGTTAGTTTTAATGTTGAAAAATCCTTTGATTGATCATCTCGACTATGAAAAATAAAAAAAATTTAAGTCTCTTTTACAACATGTTATCTACACTGTCCATTTTCAAATATTTTCATATGTTTATAGATCTATTTGATTTTAACCAAGTTTAAAATTTAAAATTTTGTAATTAGATATAAAAATAGATTTTTAAATAATCCTAATAACATTTTACATCAAAATTATATACCATAATAAAATTTGAAAAGGCACTGTACCTATACACCACCTTTTTATTTTCCTGATTTCAGGTATCCTAACCTCTAAGCAATCCAAACGGTAATATCCAGGATACTAAAAATCCATGCCCCAAACAGGCTGAAAGTGTTTCAAAATTTTCACACAAGATTTTGAGTTTGAGGCTTAAAAGCAAAAATAAATAAATAAATAAAAAGCTGGAACCACCCAGCATCCCCTAAGATTTTGAGTTTGAGGCTTAAAAGCAAAAATAAAATAAATAATAAAAGATGGAACCACCCAGCATCCTAAGATATCTGCAAAGGATCATTTTAGTAAAATAGGCTGTTAGACAAAAACTGGGAAAAGCAAAACTAAATAAGTAAAATTTTTAAAGCAAGAACATAGAGAAAGATGGAGAGTGTGATGGTGCTTGGAGACAACCTTGTGGGGTGTAGCACAAAGCCATACTATGATACCATCTAATTTTGGTATAGGGTTCCAACAACAGGGCATCCCACAGAGAACCTGTGGGTTTTTCAGAGCCACTATTTTCACTGCTCTTCCCTTCTGCCTAGAACCCTTCTCTAAAAATTCCCTAGAAAATCAAGAAACCAAATCCAAATAGAAAAAAATATATATACATTAAAATTAAAACCTGTATAACTAGAAAAAACACAGAAAAAGGATGGGTGATGCCTTTGATAGATAAGTAAAATAACTCTCTTTTTTATGGTGAACCTTGAGCAATCAGTCTCCTCGTCTGATGAGCCTACAAAAATAACCATCCTCTAAACCCTAAGTGAGGAGACATCTCTCAATCTGGACCTTACAAATGTTATTTATAGAGAGGGGAAGAAGTGTGGACCCTACAGTCCACTGTTGTGAATATCACGAAATTACCATGATAGCCTTTGAGATGGGTAAGTGCCGTTAAGCGAAAATCTGGAAAATACTTTCCTCTACATAACCAATAAAAAGTTTATAAAAGGTTGAGGCTCTAAATAATCCAAGGCGTAACTCAAAAATCAACTAGAAGGAGTTGTTTTTGTACCGAAAAATTCTCAAATACGATCATCTCGATCTTGAGATACATGGACATAAAAAATGGATTTTTGAAAAATAGAGCATCTTGTAATACGTTATCTAGACTGTCAATTTTCAATATTTTTAAGTGTTCATAGATCTATTTGATCTACACTATTTTTTAAGCTTTGAATTTTATAATTAGATGTGAAAATAAATTTTTAGACTATCATAAAGATTTTCAGTACTGAAAATAAATCTTTCGATTCCATTTGAAAGTTACTTTGATTATTTAGGGCCTCGGTCTCATACAAACCACACCTTAAAAATAACTCCTAAATATTCTTCTTTCTCCCTTTATGGCATAAAACAATAAAAAGAATTCCTTGAGCACTGTACCCATTATATTTCTTCTATTTAATTATTAAAGCACCCATGCTTTGTTTTTTTTTTTTGCAAATAAACCCATGCTTTGTTGTATAATAAAATAAGAGCGTATGCCAAGGAAAAAAAGCAAAGTATTCATGTGGGCAATGGTCTCCTACAAGTGGAGAATTCTAATGCCAATAAAGGGAAAGTTTGAAACTTTGAATTTGGTGGAAAACCATCTAGTTGGAAAAGTAAAGGGTTAGCATTTATTGCATATTCCCGCGGGAGCAAACTTTAACTTTGCTCCCTCATGCAAAAGACCTATTAAGACAGTCAATTATTGGTAAATGGAATTTTATTTGGATTTTCAGTTTCTAAATATCGGTTAAATAGGATGTTCTCTATTCAATCTTGAGACATTTTTCAAACATAAATCATGCACAAATTATTATTTTTTAGGATTGGTATACCAAATAGATAATAATAATAAACATTTTATTTTAAACAAAAAAAGTCGACAAGAATATCCTTGAATTGTTTCCAAAGTATTGTATAATTTTAATTGGTGTGTCGTGTAAAAATAAAATTATAATCTAAATTTCAAAGTGATATTATTTTTAAATAATATAAAATGAAAATGAATCTATTTTGAGGCGATCGGACAATGGAAGATTCAACTAACAAGCACCCTTCGAGCGTTCACATCCATCATATGAATGTTATACCATCCCAATTTAAAGTTTGAGTTCTTAAGATACCCCTAGATAGCATTTAACATGTAGGAGTAAGTACACAATATACTCCTGCGGGGGCATATAATGCAGGAAGAGATTCAAAGTCCATAAAATTGTTTAACCGAGCGTTTTAAAAAACGCCGAGTCGAACCGGACGTCCGGTTCGACTCGGAAATCTTGAAAGGGGACCGGATCGCCTAAAAATCGGAAATCGTCCGGTTCTAGAGAGAACCGGACGATTCTGTACAATGAATCGCCGATTCACTGTACGGAATCGGCGAGTCCGAACAGTGAATCGGC